AAAAAGCATAAATCTAACCAATTTATTAAATTAAATAAATCAAAACATTTTCTTTCAATAAAACGTTATTAATTACTGGATATTATTAGACCACATCTTAACATATTATTTCACCATCTGAAGAAAACCCTCTCGATTTATAGATATATAGAGATATATATATAATATATATATATATATATATATATATACATAACAATTAAATATTTAATATTTAAAATAAAGTACTACATATCAGATGTATATGATAAATGCCTGTATATATCAGAAATATATTCTTTGACTCACTTTGTATAAAACATGCTTTGCACTTACATTGTTCGATATCCTCTACAGCAGCTCCCAGAGCACTAACTCATTACTCGAACCACCTCTGGAGCATCTGCCAGAAATCTCAAGTCCTCGAACAAAATACTACTTTAGAACCACTACATAACTTTAGTCTTTTACAAGTCAATTTGACCTGTTGCAATAGTCGAGTAAAGTATTTACACAATACACGACACACGACTTACATTAGAGACTTTCGTGAATTAGAATTCGATAATAAAGAGATATGTGTTGGAAGTACTCAAATATAAATTATACATTTACAATTGCATATATAAAATAAAGGATACATTGGGCGCTGTAAATGAATTAATAACCTACAAAAGCACATATATAAATTATACTATTGATAAATGCATATATATAAATAAGGATACATTGACGCTGTAAATGAATTGTTTAATTATAAAATTGAGTCAAATGGAGGCCCTGAAAGAGACTATCAAACTATTCAAGGTACACCAAGGCACTTCTACACATATCCATTTTTGGCTTTAATTAACGTTTCACGATAAATTTATTATATCAAAATGATCTACTAAATAATTACACGTTTGATGCTTAAATAATTAAAACTAATTAAGGATTAATTAAAAATCATAATTAACCCGACCGCGTTTTACTTCACGAAATTTCTTTGGAAGTTATCAACATGTGTCAGAATGACTGTCACCTCTTGTACAATTTAAAGCGCGAAATTCAAACTTGAAATTTAAACTTTATGAAATACACCTTCGTGATGCGATTAATTTTTATCTGAATTAATTAAACAATTAGATGTACAAATTAACGAAATCCAATCAAGGATTAATTAAAAACTCTTAATTAACGCGAGCACATGTCCACACACGAAAATCTTTTTGACATTTGAAGTGATTGAAGTTAGCAATTAATTAATTTAATTAATTAATTTTAAAAATTAATTTCTTGAATATATATAATTCTCAGTTAAAAATGGTTTTGTTATATATATATATACATACATATGTGAGTCAGTTTTTGACTCATATACATATATTTGAGGATTTTTTGTTCAACGTTGAAATATATATATATATATATATATATTATATATATATATATAATTGTGTATGTAAAGTAGTTTATTTATTAACATAATAAAATAGTTAATTTTGAAGTTGACATATATGGGTACGTTCTTCAAAGGCGATTAAAAGTTTTCTAAGTGAATATAAATATAGTCTCATCACATCAGTAGCTGTGCGCAGGGCACATAATTTAAATTGTGTGCCCTATGCAAATTTGCACTTACACTAGCTTGTTTTTCAAGAAAAGGATTTTTAATGCTACTACTATAGGCCCATGGTTTCAAATTGATATTTTCAAATCAAATAAAAGTTGAAATATCAGAATACTAAATATATCGAAGATTAGTAACTTTACTTATGTAATATTCAAAAATTTGAGATTAAAATCAAATGTTTGATCTTAAGAAAGCTAGCTTACATTAAAACAAAAACTGAAATAATTTTATACATTTGTACAATTGTACAATTAGCAATTTATTAATGATTGAATAAGTATGTATAATAGATTTTTATAATAATAATAATGTTATATAAATTTTAAACTTTATAAAAGTAAGCACTATAAAATTAACCACCCGTACTTATTGATATTGTATAGCTCCTGTAGCAACCAAGCGTAATGCTCTTGGAAAGGCCTTATGTTCTGCTTTATGAATCCTATTGCTTAAACTGTCCATTGTATCATCATGAAAAATATGCACAATTTCTTGAACTATAATTGATCCAGTATCAACACCCTCCTGAAAATACACCAATATATATGCACAAACTAAATTTAAAAATTTAATTTATTATTAAAAAATATTTATCTATAAACTATGCTATGAGAATTTTATTGCCAAGTGCACAAATGATTGTGAATGAACTTACATCAACAAAATGAACAGTGCATCCAGTATATTTATCACCAGATTCAAATGCCTGTTTTATTCCATCCGCTCCCTTATATTTAGGCAAAAGAGAAGGATGTATAAAGCATTTTTCCTTTCCATAATCTAACAAACTCTGGTGATAATATACGCATAAATCCTGCCAAGCAAACAATTCCACACCAAATTAATCAGCTCTTGATGTACTGCCATATCAAATTCTAATCTTGAAGGATAGTCTTTATGCTTTATGACCTAAAATAAAATATATAAACACAGCCGTCAAAAAACAGTTTAGTTTACATACAAGTTTTTTTCAAAAAACGAAAAAATACTAATTGTTTCTATTCCTGCTTTCTTCGCTTTGTCCACCCCCAAAACATCAGGTTTATTAGATATTACTAAAACTATTTCCACTCCTAATCCAGAACATGAATCCTTTGAAGCATCTATCAGAGCTTGTAAATTGCTACCAGTTCCAGAAATTAAAACAGCCACCTTTATAATTAATTATAAACCTTTTGAATAAATACTTAAATACCATATAGCTAAATTTATTGTAATGAAATTTATAATACCTTTTTCTTTATATTTAAAGACTTGTTTACTAGAGAAATATTCTTTTCAAAATTATTAACAATGACTTGTGTCGAATTTGTCTCTCTGGCTTTAACAAATCCTATAGTAGTAGCTCCATGACCGCACATTTGTGCTAAAATTTCCATTTCTGCTTCCTTTGGAACAATTAGTACTAATCCCAATCCACAGTTGAAGGTGCGTAACATTTCATAAATATTATTTTTCCTACAAATTTAAAAAAAAAAATAATTATTATTAATATATTTCCCATACTATTATTAAAATTATATAATACATATTTTAATTGTCGCACCTGTTTCATGCAGCCAAGCAAATACTGGTGGTATATTCCAACTATTTGCATCTAAAACAATTTGTAGATTTTTTGTTAACACTCTAGGAATATTTTCTACTAGGCCACCTCCAGTTATATGAGCTAATGCTTTAACTAATCCTGTTCTTAAAGCAGGTAGCACGGCTGATGTATATATTTTAGTTGGAGAAAGCAATTCATCACCTGAAATCGAGCTCATTGGTATATAAAATTTAAAAGTAATTTTTTTTATTTATGATTTGTTTTCTATCATGAAATAGTGTATTTACCAAAACTCTTTCCAGACGCACTGAATGGTGCAGGATCACTTATTTTATAACCATATTTATCTAAAACTTTATGTACTAAACTAAATCCATTGCTATGCACACCAGAAGATGGTAAACCAATTAATAAATCTCCGGGTTTAATGGTTTGTGTCTTTGGTAATATGAGTTCATTCTCAACTATACCCAAAGAAAACCCGGCTAAGTCATAAATACCAGGACGATACATGCCTGGCATTTCAGCAGTTTCTCCTCCTATACGAAAATTGTGAACCAATAATTATTCATATTTTTAACAAATTCTTTATTATATTCAAAATGATTGAACAAACCTATCAAAGCACTTCCAGATTGTCTGCATCCTTCAGAAATTCCATCTAAAACTTTTGAAGCTATGTTTACATCCAGTCTTCCGCAAGCATAGTAATCCAAAAAAGTTAATGGCTCAGCACCCTGCATAAAATATCATTAGCGCACATTGCAACTAGATCAATTCCAACACTGTTGTGAATGTTCATTTCTTGAGCTATCTACAAATATAAAATCAACTAATAAACATATGTAGCATCATCTTGAAAAAGTACTAAAATATGTTTAGCAATTATAGAAATGACCTAATGTAATGTTATTTTTACAGATTTATGTATACCTTTAATTTAGTTCCTACTCCATCAGTACCCATCACTAATATTGGATCCTTGTATCTTGTGGCAACATTATTTTTTACATATGAAGCGTCATTGACCCTAAATAAACCCCCAAAACCACCTAAGCCGCCAATAACGCCCGGTCTATTCGTAGATCTGAAAAATACGCATGAGTTACACAAATTGATAAATTTTAAATATTGTTTCATTTTATTGGATAAACCTGCATAATGGTTTTATATTTGTCACTAATGCTTCTCCGGCCTCAATATCTACACCGCTATCTTTATAAGATATAGTTTTAATTGTTGAACTATTTTCATATTTCTTTCCCAAATCATCGAAAACATTTGCAAAGTTTTGAATTATGACCTAATAAAATATATGTGATAAAATAAACACCAGATCTTTTTAATAACAATATAAATAGCATTAAATTACTTGTTTATTTGATTTGACTCTTGCTTCCACTCTGCCAATTTCAATTCCATCAAAATTTTGTAACATAGATAAAACCTCATTTTTAGATTCAAATGGTACAACTAAAATCAAACCTATACCACAATTGAATGTTCGTAGCATTTCTGGTTCTGTTACATTGCCTGAGTGATGCAAAACCCATGTTTAATGAATCATATATTTGTATTTACAAGACAATTTGAAAATATGATAAAATACCCATTTTATATAACCACGCAAATATACTAGGAATTCTCCATTTGTTAAGGTCTAGTACAACTTGAACGTCTTCTGGTAAAATCCTTGGAATATTTTCAACTAATCCTCCACCTGTGATGTGAGCAATTCCTTTGACTAATCCTTTATGTATTATAGGAAGCACCTGCGATACATATAGTGTTGTAGGGGTCAGAAGTTCAACTCCTTCAATAAAAAATATATCAACTCTTGTATCCTAAGATACTCAAATAAAGCATTAAATTTTGTAACTTACCAATTGTATTTCCTTTATCAGAAAAGGGTGCAATGTCATTATATGTTTTACCAATTATATTTAAAATTCTATGAACTAAGCTAAACCCATTGCTATGCACACCACTAGACGGTAACCCAATAACAATATCTCCTGGTTTGATTTCATTTACTTTTGGCAGCATATTATCATATTCTACAACACCTACACAAAATCCAGCCATATCATATTTACCTGAGTCATACATACTAGGCATTTCTGCAGTTTCACCACCTAGACATGAATAAACGGAATTGATGGCTAAAATGACTTAAGAAAATTATATATATATATATATATATATATATATATATATAATTAAAGTATTTTTGCAGCCCTATCGCCGAATTAAAAAAGCGGGTTAATATGAAAAAATTCTTTATTTTCTCCTTTTTTGTATTTATTATCAAATTGCTGTTATTATTTGTAATATGTTATTTTTAGATTCTGAATGACGACACACATTAAGTGTCAAAACGTTTAATTTGACGATTGGGCTGCAAAAATATTTAAAATATGTATCAAAGTAGACAAAACTATCAACATATATAACATAATTATCGCTTGTTTCTTTACAACTATTATATTACCTAGCAAAGCGCAATTAGTTTCTTTGCAAGCTTTAGCAATCCCTGAAACAATAGATGCAACCACATCAACTTCTAATTTCCCACATGCTAAATAATCCAAGAAGGCTAATGGCTGAGCTCCAGCACACAGAACATCATTTACGCACATTGCTACTAAATCCACACCTATCGTATCATACAAGCCAGTCTCTTCAGCAATCTAAATGAAATTTTGATTAACAAAAATTTAAATAATGTATACAAATTATCAGTTTAAAACATGATGGTTAATGCTTACTTTTAGTTTGGTGCCCACACCATCTGCACCTTGAACCAGTACAGGGTCCTTATAAGTAACTCTGTTACCATCCTTGTTTATGTAAGTTACCTAAAATCAAATATATTGTTTTGATATCCTTTATTCCTTATTGCTTCGAAAAGAAAAATCCGAGGTAAGTTCAATTAAATTCATCAATATCTTGTTGTGATTTAAAAAATGTGATGCAAGTTTACATTTTATACAATAGTATAAATGTACTCTACTTGTATACTGTAATAGCAAGTATAAGTATAAATTTTAAACCTGATTCAATTGAAACAATCCTCCAAAACCACCAAGACCGCCAATAACTCCTGGTCTGTCAGTGCTCTTAGCCATAGGTTTAATTTTTTGTACCAATGCATCACCAGCATCAATATCAACGCCACTATCTTTATAAGATAAACCCTCTTTTCTACAATAAATGTATTTGTTTTAAATATTTGTGACTGAATTATCTTGCAATTAAATCTGATCAATAAATTTTAAATTAATCATTATGAATAAATTAATATATAATTTTATGCAATCTAAAGAATTTCTAATTTGTTTTTTTTATTTAAAGAATGTTCAGAATAAAAAGCATCAAGTTTTTTCAGTAATTTCATAAATTATATACTTTGGAAAAAAACTATTGAAAATATTTATTAGAAGTGTTTATTTTATTATAATATGTAAATACAAAATTCCATGCACGATGTTACATTATAATTGAATATACATTTTGTATTTACATGAATGATTTGTGAGCAATGTCCTTTCTATATTGAGCCCCATCAAAAGTTATATCCTGACAGGAATTTGTGGCAATTCTAGAAGCCAATTTGCAATCTTGGTTAGTTACAACAACTATAAGAACCCTGCCACCATTTGTTTGGAATCCATTGCCTTCAGGAGTTCTTGCAATGCCACTGTGAAATACTACATGGCTTTCACGAGATTCAACATTTTCCAAGCCTGTATTGAAAAAAAAAACATTAATATTGTATGCTAAATACAAATGAAGTACAATTAGCATAAATAGATTCAAGTAAATAAATATGTGTACTAAAATTTTCGACAATAAAATAAACTACAGTAAAGAAGTATCATTTATAGTAAAAAATGTATTAAACTACAATATAACATTCAAATATCAAAATGAATTGTGATGTTACCTTTAATAATACACCCTTTTGTAGATGTTTCAGGATATCCTTTACTTGCCATTACTACTCCCACAGCACTCATATCTTTTTTCCATTTTATATCAACTTTATTTAATGTTTGATTACAGCAAGCCTGCAATTAAACAAACAAATGTAAACACATTGATTAAGCTAATTAAAAAATAATAAATTTAATTATCTTTATTATTGACCTCCATTATTGTGTATAGATCAGATTCCAGCAAGGGCATTAAAACTTGAGTTTCTGGGTCTCCAAAGCGACAATTAAACTCTAAAGTTTTGGGTCCATCTTTAGTTAGCATCATACCAGCATATAGTACACCTAAATTAGCAAATATATAATAGATTTACACATGTAACTGAATATATGAATGGGTGGAAAAAAAACGAACCACAATAACTAATGCCATCCTTCTTCAGTCCTTTGACTGCAGTTTCTAGAACAGCGCTTTTACTTGTTCCAAATCATTATCGGATATTAAGGGGCAAGGGCAATAAGCACCCATTCCCCCAGTGTTTGGACCAAGGTCTTTATCTAGAAGTCGTTTGTGATCTTGTGCTGGTAGCATTACTTTCACTGTATTTCCATCAGTGAATGCTAGAACCTAAAGCATAAAAAAAATTAATATAATCCAAGACAATGAAATATGTTTAAGACTTATATTAATATATATTAATTTTACTAAGGCTATACCTTTGATTGATTTTGCAAGTATCTTATAAGCTTAATTAAAAATAAGAATGATAAAATAAAAATTTTACTCACTGAGACTTCTTCTCCACTGAGTAGCTCTTCAATGACAACTATATCGCCAGCACTTCCAAATTTTTTGTTACCCAAGATTTCATCAACGGCCGCACATGCTTCTTCTACATTGCTCGCTACAGTAACACCTTTACCTGCAGCTAGTCCACTTGCTTTTACTACAAGGGCTTTATATTTGGCACTAAAAAGACATATTTATATTTAAAAAACCAAGCAAGAGGTAGGTATTAAAGTATCCATATGTTTCAGAAATTCTATTAATATAAAATGTAACATCGCGCACAATCAAGTGAAAGATTAGAAGAAATAGAATAAAGAAAATAGCAAAATTTAGAAAGTAATAATATTAAGCAATACAAATCTGCAATTTCTATTATTACCTTTTAATAAATTCTTTAGCAGCATTAGCTTCTGTGAACGACTGATATTTAGCTGTAGGAATACCATGTTTTATCATAAATGCTTTCGACCAGTCCTTATCAGATTCTATACGTGCCCCGGCTTTTGAAGGGCCAAAACAAGGTATTTTTTCAGCACATAAAACATCTGCCAAACCCAAAGCTAAAGGATCTTCAGGACCTACTGCCACTAAGTCAATGTTATTTTTCTTACACCAATTTGCAACTTCCTAAATAGATTTAGATTGGAATAAACAGAACTGTCATTTAGAATATATTGTAGCAATAATACCTTATGATCTTTTATGTTCAAATCTTGAACAATAGTAGTTTTATTGAGTCTACTTATCCCTGGACTGCCGGGGGCTACAAAAAGCTTTTCAACACGAGGTGAATTTGACAACTTCCAACTAAGAGCATGTTCGCGCCCCCCTGAACCGATCACTAACACTTTTTTATTCATTGTTAATCAAATAACTGATTTATTAAATATTTTATTCTAGGCGTTTTATTTGAAGGTTAAGAAGCAACAGGTAGGTAACCTCTTTTATGAATTTAAGCACTGATGTTGGAAAGCAACTGGACTCCAATCAGATTCTCATGCAAAAATTAATTCAAAAGAACGACACACAAACGACGCCAGTTAATGCAAATAATTATTTAAATTGATATTCCACAATTAGGGTTATCAGTTTTAGGCGGTTATTTCAAAATTTTAAATATTCCACCTATTAAAATAATTAAATCACAATCAACGTCTTTTACAAAACCAATTTTAATCTTCTGGTAAAATTTGATCATATTTTAGAAATCAGATTTATGTGCATAGTTATCTCATATATGTTCCGTAACAGGTCAAAGGTTATCAAACAAATATATCTTAAAATAAACTATATGTATAATTCTATAAGCAAAAACAAGTTTAATTATTGCACTATAATGGAATGTTGTTTACATTGATTTTGCATTAGATTTTTTGCCAATTACGTGCAGTAGATTGAAACCCTTTGTGAAAATGTTTTTACTTAACTATATTTTATATTACTAGAGACCAATTATTAAATTGTATATATCAATCTCATTTAATGTTAAATATTTGATTGAACAAATATGAAATAAAACCAAAAATAAAATGGAATTATTTGATAAATTATTATGTAAGAATGTGTTATTATATTATGTTTTAATTTAGATCATTTTTTCATAACTAAAAGAAAATAAGTTTTAGTTTTTTTTTTTCACCCTGATTAATAAAATAGTAGAATGATTCTGATTCGTTAATTCTAACTGTATTTATAATATAATAATATTTTGTTCATAATATGAAATAAAAATGATATATTTTATTGTTTAATTGATCAATAAAACAGTGATCAATTAGGTTCTGTCGAGAAGCAATTTAAAACTGAAAGTTTTTGTTTTTAAATATTATTTCTAATTTATTCCTCAGAAAGTATTCACTTTTCAAACAAAAATCAAGTGTATCATCCACGTTTTTAAATTGATAAAAGCCTGTAAAACTAGTTGTAAGTAGCATTTTGCCTTGAGACCTGATGCATGAATTTCTCGACATTTGTAAATATAATCTATACAAAATTAATATATTAATTTATGAGTGATTTATAAGAATACCGAGTTGCTGTAGAACTCCTATTGTGAGCAGATTATTCAATTTTGAACGTAATATTAATTCAAACATTTTTTTATTATTATTGAAAATCGACCACGCGCCTAACACATTCACAGAGTAATTTCTAGAAGGGCAATAATTGCTAGATTTTAATTATTTTTTATAAATAAACCGCTTTTCGTAGATCTATAATATTTTAGTGAGTTCATTAAGCCATACAAATTTTCATTAAAATGATCAAAATATTTTTATTAGCAATCGATTGCCCAGAAACAGCCTGGCCAATCTTGGTCAAAAACTAATCAGCGTGATTTCCAAATTATATCTTTTAAATAGTTTTTGAATGTTCAAAATCGATTCAGGATTTTTAGTTGAAAACGTAGACAAAAAATTTTGCACATCTAAAAAAATGCTTACTCCAAAGAAAGAGCTTATCCGATCGCATAAAAAATCGAATCAAGATGAGCGCTTATCAAGTTTTAACGAATGGATATTAAATTTTGGAAATCGGCTTATCCGTTTTTGAGAAAAAGTCTCATACAAACACATACAGACTTTTTCCAAATTTTTCCAAATTTGGTCTCATTCGATTCAGAATGACTGAAAAATCAAGTATGTATACACGTATACACGTATAGATATAATACTGTTTTCAAAGTACAGAGTTGAAATACGTAATCATTTAGTAGTAAATGCTGCTAAATTTAGATATTAGAATGATTATTTACATTTCCAATGCTAATAATAAAATAAGTGAATATTATTTTATATAAACACTTTAATGCACTTTCTTTTATAAGAATATTTATTAAATTACATTATCATAACCATTATGACAATAGCATATATTATAATTTAAATATGACTCAAGTTCATTTATAATAATAGATAAAACCATATAACAAAGTCGAATTAAATTATATAGATACATACACAAGCTTTCATATACATATAGGTACATTTACGTACGCAAAATCAAATAAATTATATTAAAACATATTTACATTTAGTATAGTTAATCATACTCTTAGTCAACTTTATAGAGTTTTATAAAATTCTACATGCGTTCCTCAAAACGTTTTTCTTCTTGTGTTTCTTTCCAGGCCTTGATAGAACAATTGTGCCATTCGTTTTTCCCAAATGTGTGGGGCTAAAAGCACCTATAACAAGAATAAATTCTATAAAAAAATTAAATAATCATTTAAACATTATAGCCTAAACTTATTGTCTAATAAGTAAATAGTAAATATAAATTTATCCACTATCTTTTTGATTATTTATATTATATTGTCTTAAGGAAATAGGCTTTTAATACTTAGTGCAATTAAATTAAAAAAAATCTTTAGAATTTACTTAATCTGTATTTAGTCTTATACTATTTAGTGTCATAACAATTTTTGAAACTTTATTTTTTATTAAAATAGGTATTTTTACGCTTTTTAAAAATGTACTTTCGATACTAATAGGCAGTAGCTATTTTGAATTCTAGGCTAGTCGGCTATTAAACAGTAACTATGTAGAATTTATAAATTTTCTCTAATTATTAGTTACGCCAAAAAAAATCTTTATAAGTATTGAAATAATCTTTATAAAATTTAACTTAATAGTTAACTTTGGGTGCTAAGAATGGTCAATGGAACTGTTCATGGATATAAAAAAGTTATCGGTTACACTCACTTATTGTTAGTGTTTTTTTAAATAAATATTTTTAAATATTGTATTTATCCATAAATCCTTCATATTTATATAAAAAATCTATAACACACTCTTGCTTAAACCGGTACGAGTAAGGAATTTTGCACAACTTGCTACAATGTCTTCAAAATTTAAAATTAAAATTACTGGCCTAACTCAAATCCACTATTTAAACATGCCCAAAATACTACCAAATAAGTGATATAAATAAAATTTAACACAAATTCGAATCATTTTTATGAAAATCTGCAACAGGATCAAGAATTCTTTAAGTATTTTTGATCCTGTTGCAGATTTTCATGAAAATGATTCGAATCTGTGTTGAATTTTATTTATATCACTTATTCGGTATACAAAATCTAGATTATACAAACTATTATACAAAATTTAAATTACAACGCAGCTATTTAGTTGAGTAAGCAGATTCAAGATCTTTGTTAAGTTTAAATTTCTAAGAAGAACTTTTTATTTGATTATACGTTATACTCTTGATTTACGTTTGATGCTAATAACATCAAACGATGATGTTAATAACATCATGTTATACCATTTCTTATATTTTTCCATCTGTTTTTTTCGCTTTTGAGCATTGTATAAAATTCTGTTCAATTTACTTTATAACTAATTTGAAGTTTTCGTAATTTTTGTTAATTTTCGTGGAATTAAAAATAAAAGTTCGAATTTATTAATGTGAGATGCTTTTTCAACCAGCTTTTGAATTTGTGTATTTGTCATATTTCTCGGGACGAAAGATCTAAATATCTAAATTCAGGACAAATTTTGGTTTTAGAAATTCCCTGGACACGTAGTGAAAATCTGGAACTATCCCGGCCAAACTGCGACGTATGGTCACCTTCATTGTTGTAATGTGTGGTTATTTTATTATTTTATTAATTAGTGGTTAGTTCGACTTGAGCAACTTTAACCTACTATACTAAATCTAAATTCAATCGAATCTGTTAACAAAAATAAAAATTAGTAACGTACTAATAGTAACTCCGTGTCTTCCAGAATATGGATCCGGTACGTCTCCATTTCCCGACCACAAGGCCTCTTCTTGCCGGATGTCCTGCACGCAGCGCGCTCCTAGTAGGCGGAAAACAGCGGAAACATTCAGGTCTTCCTTGACCGACGTCCTTACAAGGCGGCAATTCAAACTGCGAGATAACTGCTCCGTTTCTTCTCTAAAATCAGAAAACTAGATAATTCTGTGGAAAATAAACTTGAATAATTAATTTATTTTGAGTAAATAATAGATTTGATTTTCTGCTTTTCCAAACATATATAGGTAACCCTCGCATAACACGGATTCGCTTTAAGGGGGTATTCTAGTGTGGAAATTCAGAAAAATCGATTTTTTTTAATTCATATTTTTAAAGTTTAACTATCTAAGAATATGGGTACGAGAAGGTTTTTGAAAATTTGAATTATTTTCGGAGATATGGGCATTTTACTGACAGTCTCCATACTGGTTTGGCTTCACGCAAAACTTTAAATGCGTTTTTCTCAGAACTTACTTTTTCAGTACTCTTGTCACGATTTCTGGAGTTCTACTCGACCAATTTATTTGAAATTTTCAGAGAGTCTTATTTATAGATCTATCTATAGTCAGAACTAGAATCGTCCCGAAATTCCTATTTTTACTATTTTAAAAAAATCGAGAAACTCAAAAAAAAAAACAGTAAAAAAAACCTTTTTTTTTTCAAACAGTCGCCAATTTGTAACAAATTTTTTTTTTACTCATCGCTAGTTCAGCCGATTGCGACATCATTGTAGATTAATAATCTTTTTATTTTTTGCATTTCCGATGGCTAGGAGGGCTGATATCATGTCAAGACTGAGGTGCCAATTTTTTGAGACCGCCCACTTCATCAGCTGCCAGTTTTGTACAATTTTCAACTTTTTTATTTTTTAATTTTTGTTCTGTATTTTAACAATATTAATAAACAAGTGGTGAAAAAATGGTTAGTAAAAACATTCATTGCTTTCTTTTACGACACTTTAAAAATGACCTAAAATTCATCGCTCTACACTAGAATACCCCCTTAACATGATTTGAGAATTGAGCAAAGTCCTAAAAAATAAGCAATATAGTAAAACCTATGAAAATAAAATTTTATTTAATCTAAAAAATTAGTAAAATCGCCGTACAATAGCTCAATAAATGCGATGAAACAAGTGCAAAAGATGATTAATTTGAGATTTATTATTAGAGCGCGTACGTTCTATTGAAAAAAACTAGGATTATCCGAATATATTTAATATTTGTTAAACAATTCTTGAAATAAAATGAGCATAAAAGTTTAATAAAGATAACTTTACTTGTGTTAAATTAAAAATATCATTTTGCTGAAAGAAAGTAATTGCAAATATATATATATATATATATATATATTTTTTTTTTTTTTGGAGGTAGTATAGGCTGCTCAGAAGATGAGGATATCTTATAAAAAAAAGGGTCGCGTTGGATAGCACTTATTATTATTTGTTAGTTTTGACAAAAAAATATCATATAATTTATGTAATGATAATAATACTTATAAAAAATCGCAATATTTATTATATAATCGTTATGTAGCTGTTTTTTTGAATTCTTGGATCGTAACCCCTCTTTGTACTAGTTCTTTTTCCCGTATAACACGGATTCGCATAACACGCTAGTTTTATGGAACGTAACTACCGTGTTGTACGAGGGTTACATGTATTTTGCAAAAACAATTAAAAATATATTGCATGAATAATGTCTAAATATATAGTGATTAGAAATATGTTTAAATTAGATATAAAATTACATACGGTGTGACAACGCTCTGATCCATTAAGTCTATTTTATTTTGGACTATGACGGTAGGAATCTCTCCGCATTCGTTTTCAACCTGAAAAATATAACGAATATAAGTTAATATTTTTATTATATAATAAACATATTATTTTTAATTATTAGGCAAAATTTAACGAAAGAACTGTATTTCTCAAAAAAGGTAATGTAATGTTTCAAATAATAAAGGTGATGTGATTAAGGATTTACCTAATTCAAAACTTCTAATATTTAATCTTCTAAGAAACACGAAGTTTGTTCGTAGTCTTACCCAAGTTATAAGCTTCTTTTAACAATGTTCGCTTGTCTTTACCGCGTCCTTTAAATCTTACTAATTTGAAGTTATTAATCATTCGTTAAAGCATTATATATATTTTGCTAAAATTATATAACAAGTCAATTTCTTTAAAACACTATTTATATTCACAATAAGTAGTTCAACATTCAATATAACAGCTCAAATTGTTTAAATCTCTATCTCACTTAACACTATCCATGTAGTAGTTTAAGTCGGTTTATAGTCTTTTACAAGAACATGTTTATTTAAATAACTAGTGGGGCGCACGGCATCATGCCTTAAGGCAAATTGCTGGAACTTCCCGTACCAAAAAATTTCTTTTTAAAAGATTATCATTTTTGAAAAAAAATTACTCTGACAAATTAGATCTTTGAGAAACTATAAATTTTTGACAAAAATTTACTTTTTTTTGAAAAAAAGACTTTTTGAAGAAAAGTGTATTTTGAAATATTTTGGAAATTCTGAAATTTTTTTCAAAGCAATCGTACTGCTTTAACTGCATAGAGACGAAATATCGAAGCGCGTAAGCGCCGCGCCGCTAATCTAACGGATAAGCATTGGTACGGAACCCATAGGAATGTAAACAAAATTTATACTTATTGTTAAAATGTCTATAAAATATCTGATAATTTGATGTGCATATGTCTATAGACCATTTTTGACCGCCAGATGGCATTTGTTTTACTTTTTTCACTAGATCTCCGAAACCGCTAGACCTGCCTTTATGAAAATTTGATCAGTTGTTCATCTTATTAATATAAGTAAAATGTTTTTTGAATTATTCAAATAGGACGCCCCGTTATCTTAAAAACTGAGTTACCGTTTTTGCCACTTTTTGCCCCGTATCTTCGGAACGGCTAGACTTGCCTTAGCCAAAAACTAATCAGTACGTCTCCTTATCAATACGAATCGAATGTTTTTTGAATTATTCAAATCGCTTAATCCGTGTTCCAGAAATCGTCGACGTAAATTTGTATCCCCACACACATACACACACGCACACGCACACATATATATACACACACATACATCCATTTTTTCTAAGGTATATATATTTGAAACGTAAAGATATATAAACATTTTCATTTTCGATTTTTTGCGATTACTATAACTTACCCTACGGGAATTAATAATTGCTTTACTCCAGTCAATTAAGCGTTTTGGGTAATTTTTTTACTGTGCTGCGATTTGCATAAAATTTTGGAATTAGGTTCATAAAATTTGATGCAAATTGGAGCACAGTAAAAAAATTCAGATGTTATACCCTTTTTTCGTCTCCGTTTACTGCACTACTTGCCAAGATTCATTATAGTTTCATTATACTCTTACAATTTTAAAGTTATCTTAAATATAATAATTTGTTAAAGCAATACAAATATTTTGTTTAAATCAATCCAATAATTTAAATTGTTCATGTATATTCAAATTTACATTATCCATGTGCACAATAATGTAAACTACAAAATATGTTTTTATGGTAAATGCTGTATTACTATTCGTACTATTATTCAAAATGGTCAAATACACGTTTCCTGTAGTATAAATATGGTGTTTTCGTATTTTTATATTCTTCAAAGTTTCTTTCATGGATTCAAAGATTTAAAATTGAGTCTCTACAAACCTTTGTTTTCCACGATGCTGCTGCCAAGAAACTATCGCGATCAGTGACAGAGAATGCGATGACACAAGCTTGCGCACCCCTGTAATAAGCTTTGGTGATTGCATCGAACTCTTCTTGACCAGCTGTATCCCAGAGCATCAATCGAACGTCTTCACCATCCAATCTAGAAAAATATAAAATACTTTCATTATTCAAAGAAAATTAGGGAAAAGGAAAATTTCCTATGCTATGTTTAACATTTTTTTAAGTTTAAACGATTCAGTGCTTATAATATTTCATATTAGACCAAGAATACGCTAAGAACCGTTTATTTGTTCATTCGGCAAATACAACTATGTATAGCGATCGATTCATCATGTTAAAAAAAATCAAAATTAGACTAAGGGGGTTGTTCGGTTTTTATTTATTTTTTTTCGATTTTGAGATTTTTTGATATTATGAAAGCTAAAAACCTTAGAATTATTTAAAAAAATATCATCTTAATCAAGTTATAGATATATATATCTCTATATGTATGATCCTCCGAAACCGTTTTTTTCATCGCTCCGCGAGCTATTGTATGCCAGCTGCTCTCTTTTTCATTATAATACCTCATGCACATGACCTTTTTAATGTGTCAGCATCTTTGAACACCATGGTGTATTTAGTACAATAAATTAAATTGTGTATTTAGTACATTATATTAAAAACTTTAAATACGTTTTTCTCAAATTGACTTTTTTCAATGCGGTGCCACAAATTAATAAAAAACTACAAGTCAGACTTGCATTTTTTTTAAATTTGCTCACCACTGCAATACCTAGTCCCCCTACCTCAAACAACTTGATAACAAGCTTCTCGCCCCAAAAAAGGCCTTTTTTGACACTTTTTTTTGAAATAGCTGCCATTTTTTTCCTTCTTGCATTTTTTCTTTCATTTTGGTAAGGAGACTGGATTCAAACTTCTTCTTCAACGTAGTTTTTTTTGTTGCAGGCGATGCGCAACGGATTTATCTGTGGCACCGCAAAAGAGATCGATTTTGCAAGGCCGACTTTGTCGCCCCCTGATCAAAAAATGACAGCAAAAAAAAAAAAGAAAATTTCGTAATATTCTATTATTTTGTAATTTGTGTTTAAAAAAACCGCATGTCTCTATGATAAATACATTTCGAGAAAAACAAAAACAAATACCTTGCATTTTTTGTAAAAAAAAAATCGAACAACCCCCTTAACAGAGTTCCCAAGTCAAACTATTTATATCAAATATTTGAAAGATCTGTAGCTACTAGCCAAGTTAATCCTGTACTCTTTTTCTTTACCCAAAAACTAAAATCAATAGATTTATATATCTGTTAAACGACTAAAGAATGTTAATTCGATGCTAGAGATAAAGTTCTGTTAGAATGCATCGTTTTATATCAAATACTTTAAATAAATTCCGCATCGGATTTACAGTAAAATCAATATGAATTCGAAATCGCTTTGATTATGTTATAAAACGTCTGATTTCCATTCTTGTAACTGTTCACAGCATTATTCATATATGAGGATACAATAAAAATTGACGTGTTTATTGTATTCGTTAAATTTATTAAAATATGGAATTTTAAAAAAATAAAGTGTTTGATTCAAAAATATTGTTTCTCATTAAGTCGATAGTTGTCGTTGTAGCGACGCGGGAATAGTCTAGTTTTGTAATCATAGTCTGATATCAAGTAGTGACTAGGTCCATTTTCAATTGAAAAATATATCAACATATATTTTTAAATGAAAAGATTCCATAACCTGAATTGCTGCAATAAGTTAAAAATATATATTATAAAACTGCAACCACTGATTTGTCTATAATACAAATGAAGGGTCAAGAATAGGAAAGACAGCCATTAGGTTTTCCTCTAATAAACTTTAATCAGGAGAAGTATGATCACAACATCTTATATCATATTTAGATCTGATTAGTGTTCTTAGCAAAAAATCAGTAGATTTTGTGTATAGTTCCATGTCAAACAAATATTATCCACTTTTATATTGTATAGTAATAAAATACATAACGATAAACTATTCTAAAATTCTATTTGGATATATTTAATTTCACAGAAAAATAATTTGAAAATATACGCAAAAAGCACACATTTAGCTTAGTTTTTTGTAAAACGTTATGTGTTAGTTTACCTCCCCTGCCGAATCAAGAGCAAATTGGTTTGTATATTAGCATCAATCATTAATTTTAAAATAAATGCGCGCCTTGTTTCTAGAATGCTGCAAAATCGTTATACAATTCATTGACTAATAAAACTAATAGTCGATGTATTAGTTATTAATGAACTATTATTTAATCTTATATATCCAGTTTGACAAAAAGTACAAAAATTATTTGCAAAAATAATTTTTAAAACTAGCTGTAAGTGGAATTCTGTCTTAAGGCAATTAAGGCATCGTGCCTTAAGGCAAATTGCTGGAACTTCCCGTACCAAAAATTATTATTTTTTTAAAAACAATTAACATTTTTGAAAAAAAATTACTTTGAAAGAATAAGATTTTTGAGAAACTATAAATTGGACAAAAAATAACTTATTTTGAAAAAAAAATTTTTTTAAAAAAACATTTTTTTTTTAATTTTTTTTTTTTGAAAAAAAATTTTTTTTATTTATTTTGACATATTGTAGAAGATCTGAACTTTTTTTCAAAGCAATCGTACTGCTTTAAACTGCATAGGGACAAAATATAAAGCGCGTAAGCGCCGCGTCGCTGTCCTAACGCATAAGCATTGGTACGGAACCCATAGAAATATAACAAAATGTATACGTATTGTTAAAATCTCTATAAAATATCTGATAATTTGATGTGCATATGTCTAATGATCATTTTTGATCGCCACCTGGCTCATTTTTTTACTTTTTCCTCCATATCTCCGAAACCGCTAGACCTACCTTCATGAAAATTCTATCGATTGTGTGTGTGTATGTATGTATGTATGTACGTGTGTGTATGTATGGCGGATACAAATTTCGTCGACGATTTCGGGAACTCGGATCAACGATTTGAATAATTCAAAAAACATTCGATTCGTATTGATAAGGAGACGTGCTGATTAGTTTTGGCGAAGGCAGGTCTAGCCGGTCCGAAGATACGGGGCAAAAAAGTGCCGAAAACGGTAACTCAGTTTTTAGAGAATGGAAGCGTTCGATTTGAATAATTCAAAAAACATTTCACTTGTATTGACAAGATAAAGAATCGATAAAATTTTCATGAAGGTAGGTCTAGCGGTTTCGGAGATATGGAGGAAAAAGTAAAAAAAATGAGCCATTTGGCGGTCAGAAATGATTATTAGACATATGCACATCAAATTATCAGATATTTTATAGAGATTTTAACAATAAGTATACATTTTGTTAACATTCCTATGGGTTCCGTACCAATGCTTATGCGTTAGACAGGCGACGCGGCGCTTACGCGCTTTATATTTTGTCCCTATGCAGTTAAAGCAGTACGATTGCTTTGAAAAAAAAAGTTCAGATCTTCCACAATATGTCAAATAAAGAAAAAAAAATTTTTCAAAAAAAAAAAATTAAAAAAAAAAAATTTTTTAAAAAAAATTTTTTTTTTTCAAAAAAAAGTAATTTTTTGTCCAATTTATAGTTTAGTTAATTATAGTTTTTCAAAGTAAATTTTTTTCAAAAATGTTAATTGTTTTTAAAAAAATAATAATTTTTGGTACGGGAAGTTCCAGCAATTTGCCTTAAGGCACAATGCCTTAATTGCCTTAAGACAGAATTCCACTTACAGCTAGTTTTCTTTCATACTACTCTAAACCAGATTGATAATTTGGAAGCTTAATGTAGCTTAATGTATTTTATATCACACACATTTACCTTATATATAAAATTCTTCTGTGCGAGTGTATGATTTGATAGTTCTCCTAAACGGTTAGTCGAATTTTGATAATTCTTTTCAGAGTTTGTCAAAGAGAATTTTTAAGATTTAATGAACGATAAAACTATAGTAATATTGTAGAAATAAGTGTCGTCTGATTTAAAAGTCAATTCACTTGAAATTTGAATATAGCTGAAATTATTCGCCTAGATAATATTAGAATATAATATACAAGAAAAATGCAATGTCTACATTATTATTGTCGAAAAGCGATGTGCCAGAAATTCAAATAATATAAGATCAACAGTCAACACTCTATAGTTGGCATATGAAATTATATAATTCAGTTTAATAAATAACGCAATAAGTCCAAAATTGCATATACATTATTTTTTCAAACTTATGCATGTTGCATTTTGGCTTACTTTATTAATTATTTAACAATACAAAAAAATACTTCTACTTATTAAAAAATGATTTAGGATTTTGTTTGATGTATCAAAAATTCATTTGTTTGGCATTGGATGTGAAATATTTAACAAGTTGATCTTGGATTGAAGAGTCTCATATGAACTAGATTTTACAAATTAATTCACCTAAAAGATTTGAAACTAAACAATAATGTTTATTAAATTATTACTAAGAAAAAATGTACTGTAGAAATTATAATTGGCAAAATACAACTAATATAACGTAAGAGATTATGTAAATTATAGCCTAAATTATTGAAGCAATTATGTTGTGTGGTAAAATCAAGTGAGATATTGTTCTTTAACCGCAGATACTCTATTATTTTTTTATGAATTTCTTATAATGCTTATGACCATAAATTAATCACAAAGGCAGGACATCAAACAGGATATTAAAAAGTGTAGGATAGGATATTAAAAAAATGAAACTTTTGAATTGTAGATGTGGGTCCAGGACAACGTCTGTCGGGTCATCTAGTATATATATATATATTAAGTATTTATATATTATATATTAAGTATTAATATATTAAGTGCCTAATGGTTGCATATTTCAATAACCGAAAAGAATCTTCTCTACTATAAGTTTTTCCCAAATATAGTTTTCTTGTATATGGATTATTCAAATTATATTCTAAGTCATCCAATAATTGTTTTTTCTAAACTATTCAATTTATTCGGTCTGAACACCATGATATGAAAATAACTTCAAACAAATATATAATAATGATTTGCACAGTCTCCATCTAATCTCGATATGCAATGCGTCAATTGTGCATCAAAACAAGTTGTTGCGTAGGTGTGACCCATTTTGACCCTAAGTGCTCGATGTCTCCTCAGTAGTAGCCAAGCAAACGCCTAATAAAAAGATTTCTGTGAACTAACTGACTAACTGATCATATGTAGGAGATGTAAAACCATGTATTTATTGCTTTCAAACAAGTTTCTTCTACATTCGAACCGTGTCCTAAATATTACAAAACGAGTTGGATTCCACTCTTCAGCGGACGCCATGTAATGTAACTCTTCGGTGTTGATGTGGAGGAATCAGAATTTGTCAAAGTTGGACTTGACATAAATCAATTTTAATAAAATAGAGTAAGGGTCAAATATAGATCGATCAATAGGACAAACATGTATCATATAAAATATTAGCTGAAATGCCAACATGATTTGTGTTTTTTCTATATTATTTTATTGAACAATAATCAGAAATTAGCGGAAAGATATTCAATATTATTACCTATTAAAGATAGGTAACCCAGCGGTTGCTATCTACATTTGAAAGATTGTTATTATAAGATATCTAATATCGATCATGTTCTTGAATATTTTGTTTAGATAATAAAATTTAAATGGAAGATGATAGGCAATAGATTTTACGGAAAATAACTTTTGCACTTTAATATATGTTGGTACATTGAGAAAATTGCAGGAAAACATGAAAATTACTCCATTGTATCTCAATCTGCAGCTTTTGATTTGTATTTGTTGATTTCATATTTCGGATATCATATCATCATTTTTGTTGCTATATATCTTGCAGATTTGAAATTATATAATATTAAAAATCATTATTTATCATATTCAGTTCAATCATATTTTTTAAAAATTGATTTTAAATTGTAATAATTGAAAATGTCAAATATTAACTGTGCGTTTTTGAAGCAACTGCTTGGTTTAAAATCATTTTCTATATCCAATCTATATATATATATAATAATATATATATATATATATATCAAATGTAGTATCTTACATTTTGGATATCAAATCATTATTTTATAATTTTGTTACTATATATCTTGCAGGTTTAAAATTATATACATATTAAAAATCATTAATTTGTTATGTTCAAATCAATCATATTTTTTTATTAGATTTGTTAGATTTTATACTGTCTATCTGTCTAATTTAAAAAGTCTATCAAACCTTTACTGCGCATTTTGTAGCAAAGATACTTATTTTAACAGAATTTTCTATATACCAAATCTGCAAGACCAATTAAAATGTCATTTTTGCAGAAATTAGATATCCTAAAATGCAGTAAAAATAGTATATTGAAATACTTTACAATTATTTTTATTTAATATTAATTAATATTAAAGCTTTATCTTGGGTTTGTTTTGACAACTGCTTTAAATAATGTAGCAGATATTATTTTTAGTTTTTTTTTCGAAACTTTTATATATAATTTTTTTTAAATTATATTTTATCATTTTATAGTAATTAATATTAAAGCACTATCTTTGAGTTTATTTTGACAACTGCTTTGAATAATGTAGCAGATATTATTTGTAGTCAGAACTTTATTTATTTATCATAATAGATAAACAAAAATTGCAAAAAATTTTAAACACTACAAAATATAATGTACGGTGCATAATTAATTAATTAATAATATAATTAAGTTGAAAGTTTATGATAAAAAATTTGTTTTTAAAGTGAGCTATAAAATATTTTAGTTCATCATGCAATATTTTTCAAAACAATTTAAAAGGCGGCATGGAAAAGTGTTAATTGTTTTATTGTTAATCACACAGAAAAAAAACATTTTCTTGCTAATATATTTCACCGTTTCTTCCTAATAAATTGTAAAAAGATTTAAACTAGTTTATTTTTATGAATATTCATTATTTATTCATATTTATAAATAATTAAATGAGAACCACTGCTTTATAAAGTGCATAATAAAATATCTAGCCAGATACAAGAAAATGCGTTGAATAATGATAGATCAGTTGATGCATACCAGATCTTGTTTTATTGCAAAAATCTTTGATAAAATATTCGATATCCTCGATAATTATATCACAACAAAATCAAGTAGAACAAGTTAGATAAGTTGTCTTAGTATTCAGAAATTAAAAATATATTAATAATTAACTTTGATAATATCAGAAATAATTAAGAAAATAGATTGAATTTGACTAATACGCCTAAGAAATGAAAACAAAAAGAATATAAATTCGAATTAAGCTTATATTACAAATTATACAGGTTTCTAATATTATAATTTACGATTTAATATAAATATATTATTAAGAATTTGATTTCAAGATTCAAAATTCTTGAAATGATTTTTTATTTAAAACAATGTTTTAATTATTATTATAAACACAGCTTTTGAAAAGCCATATTTACTTTTCAATTATACATACCACCCATAAAAATTTGTCTGTTTAGTTCATGTAGTTTTAATTGAATTTTCATTTCTCGCGATACTTTATTTATTTCAAATAGTTATCCAATAATAATTTCATGAAACGTTTTTTTTTACAATTAAGGTATTACAATAGATTTCAAATTACTTCAATATACTCCACCTTGAATTAAATTACATGATAAATATATAATGCGTGATATATGAAGCTTTAGATAGAAAAGAATAGAAAGTAATTTATAATAGAAAATTTCACACATTCATAAATTGATGCTTATTTGCTTTATAATGCTGTTATTTGAATTTAATATTGAACCAATATTTGTGATAACTATTTTTTGCTAACTTAATTTTAAAAAGATCAATACTGAGCCAAAGGGAAGCTTTTAAATCACAAAATTTTAATCAATTATTAAAGCTGCAAATGTGAGTGTTGGCACTTCAAATAATCTCATTGCAATAGTCCCAATGCTCCCTAAAATCATATAAAAATTCACTTTCATTGAAAAAATGAATATTAATTTACCTATATTTTTTAAAATAATATCGTTATGTTTTATAAAGATTTTTAAAAAAGTGATGCTCATTTTAATGCGCCAGTTATATTTTATACGAGTTCGGTTAATTCTGCCTTTGGCGAGCAATTACAGTTATATGGAACAAGTCGAGCATAATTTGTAGCCCTATAGCTTTATTAAAAACATTTTATTATTTGCAAAGGAGCTTGTACCTTTTTTCCAAATTCCAAAATGATCAGCTATAATAAATTTATGACTGATCTGCTTAAACTGTAAACTTGTTCGTAATGTTTTCATGAACAATTTCCCATAAAGGCTAGAAGTCTAATAAATATATTTTTTTTATTTAATTAACCTAAATTTATTACCCAAAATTTGAATAATTATTTATCAATTCTATATATTGAAATGATTATAAGGTCAGAAATGGAAGAGAAAGTGAATATCAAATAAGATAATTTAAATGAAAAGAAATGTTTTAAAATATGGTGCAGGGACACTAAAATATTCTCCAAGCCGGTTGTAATTTATTTGGTGAATTAATAAAATGCAAACTAGCTAAAAAGTGAAAATTATATATATATATATATATATATATAATATAATATAATATAATATAATTACTGTTTCATTATTATATTATAATTCGTATTTAGTAGTATCAATAGTTAAATTGAAATGTAATTGCATTTTCCTTTTAGATATTTTTGAAAAACTGCACTATTGTATTTTAGTTTTCGTCTATAAATGAGGTAGAGAATATAAAACTGTAACGAAAATGTAATTTATGAAATTATATTTGGAAATTTAACAATAACAAAAAGTAACAAAAGCTATATTTACTACTAATATTCTGATTTTCGATAATTTAAATGAATCATAATATTGAAAAACATAGGATCGCATTTTAATGATAATATCATTTTAGTCTGTGATAATATTTTACTTAAAACTACATAGTTTTTTGAAAGGCACCCAACGATTGGCCTATCTAAATTTAATATATTTTATCATTATAATTTTATGCACGACTACCTTAGTGAACGAACGAATGTTCATATTATAGTCCTAAATTAATTCACTCTGAATTTATTACATTTGTCTTAAAATTTAGTACTCACTCAATTTGGCGTTCAAGGAAATCGACTCCTATCGTTTTTTTGTAATCTCTAGTAAATGTTCCTTTGCAGTAGCGCTGAATCATACTGGATTTTCCGACGCCACCATTTCCGACGATCACCACCTGAAACAATTGGAATATTATGGATTTTAATAGTAATTAACAAATACTTGATTAAAATTGAATACATACAAACATTAGAAAATGCAAAGTTAATGATTAATAAGCTTTGATTATCAATACACCTTTAAAAAAAAAACCTAATATATAAGTAGCCTGAATCAAAATGACGGAGAGGAATTTAAGGAGGAAGAGGAGAGTAAAAGAAATTAAAGGATTTGAACAAATAGTACTAATAACAAAAGAAATTATTAATAAAAAGACTACGTGGGACTAGATTTGAATATTTGCCCACAAATAGTGATTGTCTTAAGTGTAAAACCATGTTGGTATACAATAATTGTCTCGATGTCTGCATTTGTTATGATTGCGAGTGATCCCAAATAAGTTTAATATAGATTAAAGTTTTTTTCTTTCTTAATTTTCAACAGTAATCAAAACTTTAAAAGCCGTTGTAAAAAACTTTTCACTTTTTAGAAGGCAATCCAATAGTGGCCTATCAGTATTCAATATATTTTATTATTAGAATTAGATTGTTTTTATACCAAGGAAAGGCTGTTTCTACGTGGAAGCATACTTTAGATCTATATTATCAAGTGTAAATGTCAATGCTGCTTGATATCAGGCTAGTGGGTATCGAACATGGAATCTTGTGGTTGCAAAGTAAAAAAAGTACCACTCGTATCATAGAATATCAAAAATACTCGACTTATGACATAATGCAGATTCTAAACAGACGCCAAATATGATCATGATTCTTGCAGAAATTAATAGATCATGAAAACTCAAAAATATTGAATTCCATTTGAAGCGATTTTGCAGAATTAATCACCGACCATTCTTTATATTTGCCAAATTTGTGATTTATAGTTTCCACATTTGTTCTATATAAGTTCAACAGTTAACAATTTATTTTTAAGTTATCTAATTTAATATCAACTGATCTCAATAGATTTCAATTTCAATTCGAAGTTAAGGGGGAAGCCTGCTTTAGAATAGGTGGAAGCTCGCTTTTTTAAGAATTTTTTGGAATGTCAATAAATATTTAATTGAAATGAAACTTTCCGGGGTATTGTTATATATTTCAACATTCTTCTCAAATTTTTTCATTAAAATATATGTCATAATATGCCGGGTACAAGCATTTTGCCGATGCGCCACGAGCGTGCAGGTGTCATTTGGCGGAAAAGATACAGGTCACAATTTTCATCCGAAGCAAGACAACCAAAACAATTTTATATTTTCATTAGTATAGATTCTAGTAAAACCTGAAAAATCTAGAAAAATGTAAGGAATTTATCAACTTTTTGCAACTTAAAAAAAAAATCATGTTTTTTGATAAAAAATTTCACTTTGGATCGTTTAAAAAGTGGGTTAATTATAACTTTTTCTAAAGGTTTTTAGGTCCAACTAGAAGAGAATTGAATACAATAAATTTTCTGTCGTTTCGATAGGACGTTTAGTTTTTTTGGTCCAACTAGAAGAGAATTGAATACAATAAATTTTCTGTCGTTTCGATAGGACGTTTAGTTTTTTTGGTATCTTGTCCGCCAATTAGGGTATATCGTAAAAATGAAAAACCGAGATTGCTCGGCGCTTGCTCACTATTTCTTCTGTAACTTCGAAAATAATTTGAATTTGTTCCTGAAATGTTAGGGATATATTCTTGAATAGTTTTAGAAGACATTTTTGCAAAAAAAGTCGATTTTTTAAAGTCTCTAAAGCAGGCTCTCCGCTTAATGTAATTCCGATTCCTGATATAAATATTTCTCGCTAAAGTTTACAAATATTTGGAAACCTCATCGAAAATAATTAATACTTCACGCCTAATTTATAGAAAAAACACATTTCATGGGTAATCCATTATGTTCAACATTAATTTAATTTGATGAAACTTAACAAACCATGAGCAAAAATCTTTCTCATCGGCGTATTAAATGTACCATATTTCATATAAATTGCTAGTGACCTTATTTTTCGATATAATTCTTTGAATAACTGTTCGTGCTGGTAACATACATATACTCTTAAGAAGATAATAAAGTTTACATATAATTATGGTTTTCGTTTATAGTTATTTTGTGTTCACAAATTAGGTGAAGATTTATAACAAAGGCAGCGTTTAGCAAATAAAAAATAATTTTATGATATAAAGTAGAAAGGAAAATTTTCAACGGAAATTGATTAAATAGAAAATAATAAAATTTGACACAAGAAAATTGACGAAGTTGTTAAGAAAAAATCTTATAAGGTAAAATTATATAATGCGTGAATTGTCAGGTGTGATTTTTGTCTTGTACTAATTGAGGTTTGTTGTCTATACTTTTTCAATAATTCAACTCAAAATCAAACATTCACCATACAATTAATTTTATCCAGTATTACATTAATAAGTAAGAGCACAGCGCTTTTTATTAACATCATTTGTAATTAGGTTAAGGAACTTTATTTGCAATAATGGCAAGGTAATAAAAAATTCATTTAATTTTTTTTCACAAATATTAAATGCAAAACTGCCATTGTGACAACAATGATTATGATTACTTTATTTGAAAGGACTCCATTAAATAGAAATAAAAATATAATAGTAAAAGGCAGCGCACAATGAATAATTCTCATTGTCAGCAAGAAATACTATTTTGATGGAAATGAAAATGTCACTGAATAGAATGTAGGTACATTAACGTAGCAATACAATATGTAATGATTATATAAATAGGGTACATTTTTATGAAAGTATGATCAAATAAACTTTTTCGATTGCACTTACATTTTTTAGTTTCAGAACTTTTTATTATAAGCAACTCACGATGACGAAAAATGAGTGGAATGACTTGAGCTTAAGAACTTATTGTATTGACATAAAAGTATACTGAATTTTATAATTTAACCAATATGATTTGTTTGTCTAAATATAAATATTATTTTTTTATTCGTAACAGCAATCAGAACTCAACGAGTTCTATGAGATATTGTATTGATTTTTTAAACTAAGAAGCTTTTTTATATATGGCAACCCAAACGGTTGTCTTATTTCTATGTTATGGATTTATTTAGATGCATTTTTATTCATACAGCAATGCCGGGTAAGAGCCATTTCACTTGGAAATATATTGCATCTATTTTTGTAAGTGAAAACAGATGTCACTGCTGCATGTCACCAGGCTATTCAAACCTGAAACCTCTGATTCAAAGAAGTCCATAGCTCTAACCATATACTCTTCTTTTATCTATGGATGTAACTACTAGATAATAGAAAAACATGAAAAAAATATTTTTAACTACTCCTATATATAGATATAAACATAATTAGCTTTTAGATCTTCATTTCCTTAAATATTCTAACTGTGATTTTTATCTACTACAGGTGATTTTATATTTTAAGTAATAATCAAAAGTATTTTCAAGTAAAAAACAGATCTCCATGTTCAGATTATTCAAATATTTACTTAAATAATATTACCATTTAACGTTTCAGAAATATTCAAATACATATATATTTATATTAATATATATTTTATCAAATATTAATGGTTGATTGATTAATAAATATGGATAATAATATCATAAAATATTATTTGTTGAACTTTTTGTCCTATGCCCAATTTGCATTTAACTTAATCTTAAGTTAAACTAGTTTTATTGTAAAATAAAAAAAACTATCATTGATTAGTTTACATATTAATCTTAAAAGTTCATGGGAAAACGAAAATAATATAATCGAAAAATCTATGATAATAGACTAGATAGGCCTCTATTTAAAATATACTTCTACAAAAATAAATGAACATTATTGTATCCACAATTAATTATGATTTAATTTTTGGTTAAAATGTTGTATAAAAGAATGCTTTATCCCTTGTTACTTTAAGAATCGATTTCACAAAGCATTTCATAATTAATCGACTAAACAAAAGTTATATAATTAATAATTTTTATTATATCACAATGTAATTATAGACAATTTTTAATATAATTCTGGTATTCAATAAGAAACAATAGCAAAAAAAAAATTACAATTAATGTATTCTTGCATATGGTCACACAATTGCTCATCGGTTATTCATTCTTCGCGTAACATATGAATATCAGAAATGATTATTATAAAAAGTTAATTTTACAGCTGCCTTACCATATCCGATACCTACTAAGGAATTCCAATTAAAATAAATGATGAATAAGATTTATATGATTTTATGTTAATTAAAAATTCCACAAAAAATAGAAGAAAAAACATTAGAGTATTGATCCATGCGGCACAAATTAGTTTTCACACAATAGAAGACTAATGAATTCGTAGATTTGTATGCGTATATTTAAATGCATATGATCAACAGTGAGTTTGTAAAAAAATTAAAAGCATTTAAAATCATGGAACGAATCAAAATTGCACAAACATAGATTATCTTTTTTTAATGTTTGCAAATAATTTAAAAACAATCGATTTTTCATTAATGATATTTTTTGCAACGTAGAGTCATCAGTTCCAACTGATGAATTGCAAGACAGTTCTATTGCTGATATGTATTATTTATAATTTATGTATGTATTATTTTATAATTATGTTAAATACTAATTTAAGAATAATCGATTTTTCAATTGTTTTTTGGCGAATTGCAATAGTATACTATTACTAATAACACATAGGTACATTATTTTATAATTAAAGATTGTATTATAAAAAAACAGCGACCAAAATTGAGATATAATTTTCAAAAATATTAGGAATTATCTATGCTACATTAATGATATTAAATCCAAACATAGGCAACTGTTTTAAATTGTTGAAATTGAACTGTCCTAATTTTAGCTCCATTGATCCAAGATTTTAAATAGCTATTATTATTAAATCTTATTCAAATATAATAATATAGAAGCTTGAAGAAGAATATTAAGTTGAACAATATTAAAAATCATTGAAGTATCTGTTAACAAACATTTTCTAAAAATCATTTTTCATAAATTATTATTATTAACTATAAAATTTCATTTAATTTGTTTAAAAATTTCCACTATAAAAATCATAGAGATTTAATAATACTTAGAAAAGCACGCCAAATGAATAATTTGTTTTTATTATACTTTCTTTGTTTAAAACAAGTAGTTATGGGAATTATAAAAATTATGTGAATTCGAAGAAAATAAATGCTTTCGAGTTTGCTTTAGTATTTTAGGTGCTTGTTAAACGACTATAAATTTTGTATAATCTATTTGAAGGAAATTAGTTATGATTTGAATATAATTCTTTAATGTAGGTATTAACTAAAATTTAAATGCATCAATGAATGAAATATTAAAGACTTCTACAGATGTAATATTATATTTAAAAGTTAAATTTAATTATTTAAATATTATTTCAATGCGAAAAGACTCAACTATCAAATCAGAATCTAATCAAGGAAAATGTGAAGTAGATCAACTATAATAATATATATCATAAAACTACAAAATTCGTATGACTGTGGAACATAACAAATTTTTACGAAATTATTAATATTACATTGCAATAAATAATAATAATATATAATGTATAATAAATAGATGCTCACAATTTATGATATAAATGATATCACACATAAAACAATTTCTAGGAAAGCTCAATGGAAAATATGTAACCAATCGCACCAATGTTGATTAAAAAAATTACAAATGAGGTACTAAGTTTGTATTTTTAAGTCAAACTAGGAATGAGATGTAATTAATACTTTACCGAATATAAATGACAAAAATATCTCAACTCATAAATGCTTTCATTTAAAATTGACGAATTTATACCGAGCTTCAAGTACGTGCCTTATCTCCACACATTTTTTTATTATTATCTTTATCAATATTATTAATATTTCTTTCACATAACTGTCTTCTATTTGATAAATATACAATATATATTCAGCTATGAATAAATATAAAAATATTCAAATATACCTTTAGTTTTGTTAACCTTTTGTATTTTTCCAATGCATTATTCTCACCAAGGTATCGCATATATCTTAGAAAAACCATAATAAATAATTCTCTTCAAAACGATTTCTCTACAAAATAAACAGTAATTGATTATAAATATATTCATGATATTCTATTATACTGAGTAATTTGGAAGATTTTAATCTTCCAATTACAACTATATCTAACGCATTAACATAATCATAAAACATTTCATGTAGTAGTCAATCAAAAAAGTTTGAATAAAATAACAATAAATTTAATCAATTGGTAATAAATATAAAAGTAAAAGATAACAATGTGTATTTTTTAAAAGCAAGTGCACTTATTTTAATTATCAGTTAGAAATGTGGGTATAAAAAATTATAATAGTTATTTAAATAGATTCGCTACATCAACGGTAGCAGATTATAATTTGCGGTGTTCATAGTAAGAACTTTTTCTATTGTGAAAGTTTATAATTATGGTGATTGCAAAAATTGACGTATTTAATGAAAAACGTGTCGGATTGTACGGTTTTAGCGGTTAGCACATTTATACAAACTTGGAAACATAATAACTATTGTGTAATTACAATTATTAAATCTGAAAAGGAAGATTGAAGATTTGTTTTAAATGTATTACAAACACATTCGTGTAAAAACATATGAGATTTTTCTAGAGGCATTACAAATTTCTAGATGTCATTTATGAATTTACATATTGAAAATTAAAAAAAAAATAGCAATGATGGGGGCCAGATTTTTTAGAGGTTTCCTCCACTGAGGAGATTCCCCTGTAGATAAAAATCTGTGTTAGTAAAAGAAACAGTTCTTAAATTAAGTTAGTAGGTCTTCTGGCCATTAAGGGACAAGAAATTTGAGAAGAATAAATGATATATTTAAGTATACTTTAATATATATGGTTGAGCATTATTGTATCCTCTATTAATTTTTATGTAAATATTTTTATGTAAATGATCAAAAGAATTCCTTATCCTATGTTACTTCAGAACAGACTTTAAAAAGCATTACAATTTTTAATTAATCGACTAAAGTTATATAATTCAACAATTGTATCATGTCACAAAGTCATTATAAACAACTTTTAATATAATTTTATTAATTAATAGAGGCACTACACATACTATACCAAGTGTATATACACAGCAGAATTTTTCATTAAAAAATAGAAGTATATATTCTTCTTTTTCTTCTTCTGATTATAATCAGCTGAATAAAAATCCACTATTTATAGGCACAATTTTTTACCAATTACTTTATGTAATTTGTACTCTATATAGTTGGAATATTTGATTTTTTAAGCATAAAAAACTACTTTTAGTAAGTACAATTCATTATCGTGTGTCTTTAAAAATATATTATTAAGAAAATAATTAATTAGAAGAAGAATAGTTAAGTAAAAAATTTACCAGGATGATATACTGGAAATCATTTTAAAAATAATTGTTAATTGTCGTTTTTCCTTCAAATTTGAATTGTCTTTATTGAATAAAATTATATTATTCTTTTAGACAACTGTTTATAATCCACACTTACATATATAATTAAATCTAAAAATTAAAAAACATGAAAATATAAGATTTCTGATTGATATCCACAGTCAAAATTAGAGTTAAATAAAAATAAATATTTTGTATATGTGAATGAATAAAGAAATCGGAAAAAAACTTTGAAAAATCATATAAAAATATAGAAAAATATGAATTAATTTTGAGAAAAACAATATGCAGTAACTAATTCTGTATAAATCAAAAAGCAAATACTTTTGCTGTTAAGAATTCGTTAATAATTATTTTTTGATCATTATTTAATTTAAGTGAGCACAGGGTGCACGTACAATCATATAAATTTTTTATATATATATTTACATAGCTTAAGTAAATCTCTTAAGAATCCCTTTTATATTTTCATTATCAACGTATCCTTACTATAAACCCATGTACTGTTCCTAAGAAAATGTACCAAATTGTGAGATTATAAAAAATTCCCAAATTTTGTAGTTTTATTAGTGTATATTTGAGAACTCTCTCTTTTAGGCAGGTTAATAATTTTGATATTATATTTTTAAGTTTATAAATTAAGTATTCAGTAAGTTGCGAGTCTAAACACATATTTAGAAATTTAGCTCGCACAAGTTACTCAACCATTTAATTTTTTTTTTCTATTTTTATGTCTGTTTATGTCTATTGTCGTTTTCTATTCTTCTAATAATTACTGTGTACACAAGTATTTAAAAGTGCAGTATTTATTTTTCTATAAAGTGATAACGGCAAAGGCAGCAGTAAGGAGTTATTTCAAGAAGACAAAAAAAAATAATATTAGAAAAAATGATTTTTTATTCAAAATGGTGACAAGAATATAGGTTAAAGTGAATAATTTACAATTTGCTACAATGAGATAAATTCAATAGTATAAAGTAAAAATTTATCTACTCACTTTGATGGCGATCTCCAAATCTTCTTCCCGCATTTTGAACGCAGGATAACTCACTCCGAACACTCGTTCCCTCATTTATTAAAAATTATTTATGCAAATATCACACACAAGAATTAATATTTAATATATCTGACAGACCAGGTCGACGGTCCGCGAAATAGTGAATTATATATTACAAGAAAATCCATGTACTTCAATAAATTTGCTGAATTAAACTGAAATCACCTTGGTAAATATTATATGACGCACGCGATCGGACGCTTTCGACGAATTTAGGGCATTCAACCCCTTGACCACGGGGGCGAAGAAAGACACTCATTCCAATATTGATTAGATTTAGATAATCTACAGGTGAAATTATTTTATAGGGTAAAGTATTTCAAACACCTCTAAAACTTAACTTCGATTCAATTTTATTTCACACTTGCGAAAAAAACTTCAATCATAAATGATGATTTTCGTTGAAGAGTTCAATTTTCAGAAATTTTAGAAGTTAGTTACTAAAATTTTATACACTCATTACTACTATGTATAATTAAATACATATATTTAAAGTTGTAACATTAAATTTTTATCATTAGTTTTGAAATTATATTTTTTTTTTATTTTGTTTTAAATTTAATTTGAAATTAAATGTCTCATGATAAATTTGCTGTGAGTATTTTAAATCATGTAAATTTAATTCACGATATTAATTTTATCTTCAACACATTAACTTTATTTTAGTTTTAACTTTAGTTTAGTTCATCGTCCATCTCATTATCGATTTCAATTACTCACCGTCAAATTATTTCTAGTAATCTATACATTACTTTCGTAAATCGAAATATTTTTTTTTGTTTAAGCCATTAATTATGATTATATCATGTATTTTTAATGTTTTTACATCGTGTTTTGACCCCGCTAGAGTCTAATTTGATTTTAATATACGATCTGATTAGAAAACTGGACGCGGATCGATGTCTTAATGAAGTCTTCTTGATGGCCTTTCTACAATAGCGACCTGGAAAGATAGAAAAAATAGGTCAATCCATTATGTCATAATTGAGAATAAAATATGTAGATATATAGGTTGAAGGTATTTTGATTTAGTTTCATTTAAGGGGTAATTGGTATATATTGATTCCAGAAGATTCAATTTTTGATCTGTCTTGTTTGATCTATTATGAGTCTATATCATTTTTTAACTTCCCGTAGGGTAAGTTATTGTAATGGGTCAAAAATCGAAATTGAATTTTTTTTAATTTCTCGACGTTTTGAAGGTTTGTGAACATTTTGGCATACATCAGAAAAAATGGATGTGTGTGTGTGTGTATGTATGTATGGATACAAATTTCCAGTCACGTTTTCGGGCACACGGATCAACCGATTTGAATGGTTTAAAAAACATTCGATTCCTATTGATAGGGAGATGAGCTGATTAGTTTTTGGCAAAGGCAGGTCCAGCAGTTACGGGGATTAAGAGCAAAGAGTGCAGAAAATAGAAATCGAGTTTTTGAGAGAACGGAGCATCCGATTTGAATGATCTAAAAAACATTCAATTAGTAATGATTGGAAAAAGTGTTTATTAGTTTTTGGCAAAGGCAGGCACAGCCATTTCAAAGATACGGAGCTAAATGTATAAAAAATGGCAGTTTTTGAGAGAACTAAGCGTCCGATTTAAATGATTCAAAGAGCTTTCTGCTTGTCTTAACAAAATAATTAATTTTGGAAAAAAAATTTTTGTTTCAACGTTTTTTTTTCAAAAAAATTCTTTTTTGTATATCAAAAATAGTTCAGATTTTATTTTTAATTCTGACTATAGTTCTAATATACTTTAAACAAATAATTTCAACTTTGCAATTCAGTTTATATAATTCTTATAAATATTAGACAATGTTACAATATTAATAATAATCTATTTGAAAACATTCAATATTCCTAGAACATTTCGTGACGGTACGGAAAGTTCCAGCAATTTGCCTTAAGGCACGCACCCCACTAGTTTATTTATTTTTTGGCCTTAAAAACAAGTACATTAGCCAGTTTTATGATTATTTTTGTGTTAAACTGAACCTGCAGTTCCAGTTCCTTTTATAAATAGTTTTGTATGGAAAGTGACTTCAAAAGTTTTGAAAAGGAAATAGTAATTGTCGCAGAATTTCATGTGTTAAATATTTGCTTCTAACTTTTCATATGTTAGAACGAGTATTATAGAAAATTGCTAGAATATATAATAAATGGTAAGTATAGTCGATTATTTCCTTTAAGACAATAAAAGAATTGTCAATAAAGAATACAAACAATTTTTTGTCCTCTGTACTACACTATACTCTCCCAAAAAATTTGATTTTAAGTTTTCCATTTTCTTTATTTCAAGGGTATAGTTTTCCGTTTTTGACAACCTATTGCATTTTACTACACCTCAGTCCTTTAAAATTTTCTATTTTGGAGGACCTCAATTATAAATTGATATAAGTTTGACCCGTTAGGCCTATTTTTGTTAAGAATGCCTGGTACTATTTGTTTTTAACTGTAGTACTGTCTATATCTACTGTAACAAAGTAATTACGAGTTTCTAATTTATTTCAAGACTCATTTTATAAATCTGTGTTAAATTTATATCTGTAAAACGGTTTTATACAAAATCTCTTACAAGAAGTTTTACTGCGTCCAGTCTATTCATCAGAATCTATTATGTTTAAAATTTAACGCTCTGATTGAGAGTAAAGAATAGATAATTAGACTCATTAATTATTCAACTAATGTCCATAATAATGATGATTAAAGTCTATACTCTGAATTATAGCAGATGAAGAATTAAAAAATAATTGCAAGGTATACACATGTTTATGCTCTAAATATTGGCGGTAATAGTACCGCGTCAGTTTATTGATTCTGCACTAAAATCATGTAATAAAGCATGTATTTTAGTAAACTTCGAGCATATTTTTAAGTTATTTGATGATGCTGAATTTAATGATGAATATTAAGCTTTTTATGTTTCACTGGTAACATATTGTATGAAAAAATTAACAAAATGGAGAAGAATATGGCTTGGAGAAACCATCAATAAAATAGCCGTAATTCAACTTTCTTTCTAGGCGCTATCTCTTGAAGGTTTTATTCAAATCAGATATTGTTTTTGAAATATTTACTATCTTAATGTATGTAGCGTGAGGTACTCTTGCGTAGAAAAATAGTTCTTAATTTGTTGAATATACTGCTTTGAATATTTTCAGCATGTAAAGATTTTTCTCTAATTTATATGGTTTTATCAAATTACCTTTACTGTTAAGGTTTATTATTAATTCATTTTTAAAAAATCTTTCATCATGATTTAAAAGACCACACGAAGATGATCCATTGGTTGAAGTTCTAATTAATGCAAATGGTGGCATGATGCAAACAGGTAAGGACTAAAAACATTATAGATTCAATTTATAGATTAAGTCTTTATGCAAAACTCTGATGAGTTAATTGCCGTTTTATATTCCGGAGCAAAAGCATAACAGGCCATCGAGTCATACAAACGGTTACGAAGGAACTAAGTTAAAAATGTACATTTACTGCTAGTTTGAAATAAAAACAAGGATAAAATAATTTATTGCAAATATAAATTTGCCATGTACGAATAATATGTAATGAAAATTATATTATATTTATTAGACAAAGTCATTTTAATGAATATGTAAATTATAATTTCGGAATTGCCGAAACTCTATTCCAAGTATATGCTAATAAGATTTTGTTTCTAAATATTTTTAATTAATAATTTGACAACTTGATTTGCCAAATTTTGCACATATTTATTGCTTTCATATCGTATATAAATTATTTTTTTAATGCTACGTATGTCGTATGTGTATTTAAGAATATGTTGAATATTTCTTGACAAAAACATGTGAAAAGATTTCACCCATTTTTATATAAAAAAAAATTATTACGTTCAGTATGATTGAGAATCGGCTAAGGTCTATTTTTCATATTTCTCAGTGATAAGTATTGTCCACCCTCAAGATTTTTAGGATTATTCCATTGTACAAATTTTTCCCGATTGCACAAATGGTGCATAGTACATGCATGATTTTCAGAAAGAGCAATTTTAGCAACAAAATGTAGAAATTCAATATTGAAATCTGAAGATACAGAAGTTCTTGATAGCACTTGACTTGGTGTGCTGCCAAGTCAAGTGTACTTGGCAGCACACAAACCTATGAAAAAGCTGGAAAATTTTCCACAAAGCTTTTGAAAATCTCGGGTTGGAATTCAGTAGGCATGCCACAGTATATTTCAAAAATGAGTTAATAAAAAGTGAGATAATACTATATCAGAACCTTCAATTTTCAAATGTGCCAATTTAATTCAAATGAAATTCCACATTAGGCTGGTACTTTATAGACTATTACTATCAATATGCACCAGCTAATTATATGTGGGATGCTTTGCAGTGGATAAACTTTCCATATATTTTGTGTTGGTTCACCCTTTTTCTTTCATACCACATACTACTACATTGACAATAATTAAGATATACTAAACGGGTAATATTTTTTATGGCTACCAAATGTTTGCCGGGTCGGCTAGTATATATATATATATATATATATATATATATATATATAAAACTTTGACTGAATTGCGCTCTATCTAAAAGATAATATTAAGAGCTAAAACTTTCAGAGAATTGTTTTTTATCAATTTGGAACTATTTGAGCCCTTGGAAGCAAGGAAATTCGAAAATGTCCATATTAAGGACCACCCTAATATATATGTATATATAAATATGTGTATATAAATATAAATATTCTTCTATTTAAATATTACGCTCATACAACACATCCGTTGCAAATCAGATTATATCTTTTAAAAATACAACCCATAAAAACCTGTTTTTATTATTAAACAAGAAAAATTATTTATAGAACCAAGTTAATTCTTCATTAAGTAAATTAAGTTGTATATTTCATAATATCATTGATTTAATTTCGATTAAAAAGCTGACTTTTTACGTATATTTAATCTCGGATTTATTCCAAATACCGTATAGTCGTAAAAATTCTTGAATGTTTGCGAAAAACTATCGCGAACAGTTTAGTCACGTAGATTCGTGGCCGTTCGTCAATTGGAGTAATGTTATTCAATAAACAATAAAAGAGTTTTATTGCAGGAAGAATTAGTTTTGCGCCGTTGTCGTGAGTAAAGACATCGAGTGACGGGTGACAACCAGACTACCGAAGCGATGCATTGGCACTTGCGCAAGTAGACCAAAAGTTGATCGTCGATTTGCTCAAAATCAATTATATATTAAATGAATTACATTTTATTGTTT